GCATTCATGGAATACACACATGGAATATACACAAAACTTGCCTAATAACCAAAAGTTCTAGTTAACAGCTGCAGAACCCACCCTTCCACAGCACTTAAAGCCTCCCAGTATTACTACACTTAACACAGGGAAAAATTATTTAGTTATTTTTTTCTTAAATATCAAGTGATTCAAGATAAGCAAAATCAAAGAATGGAAATAAGTTAAAACACCTAAATATGGGCTAAATCTAATTAGCTTTTATTTTACAGAGAAAGAAAAGCTAAGGATTGTAAGTCGGGGATTGTTTTCAGTACACTTAAAACTCGCCCAAAGTTAAGCACTGATTCCAAACGTAGTGATGACTTCTGCCTACTGGTTTCCTCCTGTGCAAGGAGTGCATATCCCACTTCCCGTGAAGTTACAACAAAAGCAGAAGAGCTTTTGAAAAGACATTGCAAATTACGCCAAGTATTAGGGATTATAAAACACTTTTGCATTATTACATTTATCAGTATTTGCAGCCCAGGATTTCAAAGTCCTGGAGATTTCTATTCCTACCAATTATCTGTGCATTATCTCCATAGTAGAAATAGCTGTCTGTAAGGATCCTAAATATGCCAAGCTCCCTTATAGACCAGGGAAGGAGTCCTCTCTGGTGGTAACAGAAAAACACCTCAAACATTCAACCTTATGCAGACACATGGAAAGTATCACCACATCAAGCTAAACTATATTCAGGTATTTATCAAAAAGCATGAGTTGGCACCATATAAAAGTTGAAATTATTTTCAAAATAAAATTCATTAGGTTTAAGATTTAAAATTGGCTTGAGGATGTACGATGAACTTAAGGATTTGTGACGCAGAACATTTATGAGGCTTCAATCTCAGTCTAAAAGCCACTGTCACACCAGAAACTCTCTTTGCACAGAAAGTTCATTTCTGACAAGTCATTTGGTGCATAGTTAAGAAAAAAAATCTATTACTCTTGTTATACACCTCTTGAGCTTTCTGGGAGCTCCTATGTAGGAGTTTCCCAAGCTTGACAAGGCACCTTTGTGTTTGATTTCCATCAATTCACAGGAACTGTGTTTTTTGTTGTTTTCTACACTTTTGTACATGAACATCACCAAACATATCTAAATTTCACTATCAAGTCAGTACTGAAATATCATTTAAGTAGTTCCAATACCTTTTAAGTGAAGAAAATTAGTATCTCTGTTTCCCCTCCCTTCATCCCTAGATCATTACTTTCAGTTTCTGTTGAACAGAAAAGCTTTTACTCAGAACACTTTCAGTTTCAATTTAGCAAGGAAGTGTAAAAGAATGTGTTCTGCTTGAGAAAGTCATCCCAAGTTAGGATAGCAAGCAGGAGTCAGGGTAAATGGAAAAAAATAGGAGTCAGAGGTTAGAAGACAACAGCTATCTAGGAAAAAAAAAAATCAATTTATAGCTTACTTCAACATTACATGAGCCTTAATTATACCACAACGGTTAACACTCTGTTTAAAGCCAATTCCCCTTCACCCCACTTACTCACAAAATAGTTTAAAATATGAGACTGCAAATGAGAATGTAAATTGCTTCTATAAAGTGATTTGTAATGTTTCTACAGTTTCTAGGAAATCAGCAGCTAAAACAATCTTGCAGAAGAGGGTGACTGCAATTCTGTGGAAAAAAGACCAAACAGAAAACAAAACACAAACCAAAGCTACAAAACTCCGATCAAGCCCTGCAAATATGTTCAAAAAATAAATATGCTTAAAAAAAAAATCCTCATCTCAGGGTTAGTAAAAGCATCCTAAGAATTCTGCACAGATGAACACTTCACTTATAAAAAGAAAAGGAAATAAACCCCCCTACAAATAATACAGCACCAAATAATCAATTCAATAATCAATCAATTTATTGTATTTTTAAAGTGGATTTTAAGCAAGAAACAGCCAACTGTGGTGGAAAGCCAGTTTCCATTTTATGTGGATTCTTCTTTCAGAAGAAAAACAAATGGACCCAAACCACATCTGCTGTTACTCCAGTGCACCAGTAAAGCCTCAGCATCACAGCTACAGCCACCTGATACTTAAACACCTATTTATGGGGGAGGCACAGACTGAGAGCTGATCTTGAGCACTTACTGCACACCCTGCCTTTCACAATCACTGGTTATGACAAAACACATTAAGTGCTTCCGAATGTAGGTTAGGGGAGAGTGTCAAAACATCACGTGCACCACGAGACATTAGTTGGGGTAAGCTGTAACAGGCAAGAACAGGCTCTTTGAGAGGTATTTACCAACATACACTATGAAAAGCCTTTGAGACTTCATAATATCTTGGTAACTGATATGCACAGCTCATCACAAAGCTGACTGTTTTCATTTGACATAATAAAAGAGTAAGTGTGCTTTTAAGGAAAGGTCGTTTTCAAACATTTATAAGCTTCTCTTCTAATATACTACTTATTTAGATTCTAAGGATTCTCATTATTCTTATATTAGTGCATTTGTTTGCACACCCTTTTGATATCTAATAGTAGCTCCTTAAAATATACACCGTATTTTTCTCTAAAATTTCAATAATATCTTCTAAACTTGCCCCAGTAAATGTACGGCATACACAAGGGCAAGGCAAAATGAGGCTATTATTTACAAACTTCTGTTTAAAAAAAGAAACACAAAGCCCACGCCAACGCTGTTGCTCAACTTTGTTTGTTCTGTGATGGTGCTCTGCTGTCACTGCATTCACCATTTCACCTCTGCTGTGCATTTCCTCCATGCTGATGTACAAAAATATTCCTCCTCTCTCTAGCAAAGGTACGCTTTTCAGGTTCACTCTGCCAGGAAGCCCTTAGGGGCAAGGATCCAGTTATTTACAACTTGAAATGCTATAAAATATCAGGCTGGTAATATTCTTTATTCTAAAGGACCTTTGTGTACATTTTAAGTCTTTTTCTCTGTGCAAGACTGAAACCTATTACCTTGTGCAGCAATTTTGGTTTACTCCTTCTCTGACAAATAAACCCTTCCCCATTCTAAATAATTTCTTCTTATCTACAGCAGCCTTTCCACTACTTTCAGAAACAATATAAAGCACCTGCAGCTCTCCCTACATCCAAATGAAACATTTAAATCAGGCCCTGATCTGCAAGACCTGAAACAATAATCCAACATTTCCTCCCAGCAACATGGAGATCAAGAGAATCTTTTTTGATTATGACACGGATTTTAAACAAAATTCAACACAGGGAGTCTTAGGAGTGTTGAATTTCTTTTAGGGTGCCAAAGGTCAGAGATGATTTATTTTTCAAATGTCATTGTTTCTGAACAGGTGTTTACTGCTCTGGTTTACTATGACAACCACCCATGCTATAGACTACACACAGTATCTATTTGTCAGAATTCTTTTGTTCAATGACAATGCGCTCCAGAGGAAGGCCACTAAACGGGATCTCTGCCTTCTTGCAGCCATACTAGTCAAAACACATATTCAGATGCTTGAGGAAGAAAAAAAAAAATTTTTAATATTTCATTAAAAAAGGCATATCAAAGAGTTAATTACTGCAACAGTTCAAGAATCAGAAGAAACATTTCACCACTACTACTACTACTGATAATAATAATTCCATAGAGTATGAATTACGTCTTCTTCTTGCTTCCTTTCTGCCAGCTACACTACTATCCTACAAGCTGGTATTTTATGGGTAATAATAAAGCCCATTATTTGTTTTATGGAAATCAAGCACTACAGTTCTGGCATACCTTTTGTCCACTGCTGTATTTCATATTTTCTCCTCCCCTTACCCTCCAACAGGAATGAAGGAATCCAGTAAAACAGAAAGAGAGTTTTATAAAGAAGGATGTAAAGACAACCCCAAATCTGGAATGCACTTAGATAAGCACCAAAACTCTGTGCCACGCAACTTTATGAGAACAGGCAAAGAAGCTAATGCAAAAAGCAAATCAGTATTTTCATGCTAACAGAAAACAGATATTTATGACCACAGCTAAGAGGCCAAATAAGCCCTCTGCTCAGACTATAAAAAAAAAGCCCTGCAGTATGACTGTTCTGTTTCCTGCAGGAAATGAGATGCTTGTATTAGATACCCCTGTGGTTTTCATACTGTAAATGTATCAGCTGGTACAAATCCTCCGGAGAGGACTATTAACTAATGCTTAGAAAGAGCAGTGGCAACAGCAGACCGCACGTAGCACCCCAGAGAAGAGGGGACAAAAGCTGGCAAGTCGTCCCTAAAAAATCTGAGAGCCTGCAGCTGAAGAACACATCTTGTAGTAGAGGCGATGTCTGAGGAATGTATATATCTACACCCTCTTATTTCCCCTTACTCCGCTCACTGCTTCTTTAAATAAGGAGCCTATTGCTCATCACCACTCCTCTCATTTAGGAGCCTCAAGCCGCTCCTCATTAAACCATCCCTGCTTACACGCGGCACAGGAGGACCATCCACAGGCTACACACTTGCATGGCCATTTTACCTCCTTTCCACCGTGACTTTTAAAAAATGTTATTATTATTATTATTTTTTTTCCGTTCGTGTTTCCGAGTTGCGAGGGTGCCGAGCGAAGTTCCCGCCGCGGGCGATGGGGCAGCCCCCTCCCGGCAGGGCTCCTCCACCCGGGAAGACCCCGCTGCTCCCCCATCCGCATCGCTCCCGCCCGCCCGCCTGCCTGGGTGGAGCCGCTCGCCCTCGCCCGACAAGCGCCGATCGTGTTCTCCATTGCAGAACCGCTGCCAGGGCGAGAAGCGGGGAGGAGAGACCAGGGGGAGGAGGAAGGGAAAAGAAGGTGTAAACCCGTCTGGGGGAGAGCCCGGGGCCGGACACGGCCGGGGGGCGGGAGGGCAGGGCCGGGGGGGCCAGCGGGGAGACAAAGGAGGGATGGAGGGTGCCCAAGGAAAGCAGGGGAAGCCGGGGAGGGGGCGCTGCCGGGGAGTCCCGCGGGGCACCTGCCTGCCCCGGCACACCCCCGCACAGAGAGACAGACAGACAGACAGACACACGTACCGAGCAGCAGCAGGCGGTGCGTCTGCTTGTACTCCCGCTTCTGCTCCTTGAGCGCCCGGTCGATGCTCTTACTGACTTTCCTCGCCTCCTTCTCCGCCTCCCGCTCCTCCAGGCGCAGCTTCTCCCAGGTCCTCTGGAGCGCCGGCGGCTGGTGCAGCGCCTGCTGCCGCGCCGCCTTCCCCCCGCCGCCAAGGCCGGGGCCGCCGGCCTTGGGCAGCGCCGGCTGCCGCTCGGGGGCCGCCCCATTGCCGCCGCCGCCGTTCTGCAGCAGCAGCAGCGGCGGCCCGTCCGCCTCCCCGCCGGGCTTACCGCCGGGCCGGAGCGGGACGCCGAGAGGCTGCGGCTGCGGGGCGGCGTGAGGCTCCGCCGGCGCTTCGGGCTCCGAGGCGGCGCTGGAGATGGAGCCGCCGCCGCCGGCGTCGCCGAAGAGCCGCGGGCGCAGGCTGTAGCAGAGCCCCATGGCTCGGTGCCCCCGCCGGGGACGGGCTGTGGCGCGGCGGCGCTGGCCTCAGCGCTTCCCGCCGGCCGGGCAGGCGGCGGGCGGGGAAGGGGCGCCGCGGAGCCCCTCACGGCCCCGCTGGGCCATCTTGCATCTTCCTCCCGGGCTGTGGCGGCGGCTCCTCGGCGCCGATCACCTGACACCGACCGAGCTGCCACCGCCGGGTCCACGTTACCGTAAATACCCCAGCGCCAGCCCACCGCGCAGCGCCGCCGGGGGAAGGGCGGGGGCGCCGCGCCGGCACACAGGCGCACACGGAGCGCAGCCCCCCGCCCCCCGCCCGGCCCGCCCGAGGGGCCGGGGTCTCCCGGAATTCCCGCTCCGCGCCCTGCCCGGGAGACCCTCGCCCCTCACGCCACCCGCCCTCCTTGCTTCCTCCCCCACTCCGTGTTCCCTCCCTGCCTGGAAGGGCCGCCGTGCCGCATGTGCGAGCCCCGAGAGCTGCACACAGCCGTGCCCCTCCAGGGCTATGCCCCTGACAGACAACGTCTCCCCCGGCATCCCAGGGGGAGAAGCCGAGGCGGAGGCCTCTCACTGAGAGGGACCCCGCACGGTGACAGCGGCCCCGGAGAGGCCGAAGCAGCCCCCGGCAGCCTGGCATCCTCACAGCTACAACACGGCTCTGAGCCCTGTGCACACACATGCGGCTCCTCGCCCACGCGCTGACTAAGGATGCCGTGGGAGGAAGGCTTTGGGTGCGACGGCAGGAGAAAATAATAGGCAATGTTGGGGTTTGCTCGCTGTCTCAGTCAGTGTTGGCAGCAGTAGTACTCCAGCAGCGTGCTGCTGTGGGCTGGGGAGGAAAGGCTGGTGCTAGAAAGCCAGTTCCAAGGCGGTGGCAGCTCTCCTCAAGAGAAGACCCGGAAAAATTCAGGTTACTTGGAATGTGTCTCAAATAGGCTGTCCTTCTGCCTCATGCATCTCCATGTTCTTCATAATCCCAGCCGTCCTTTTTCAGGAACACGTGGCTAGTGGATGAAACTGGGTCTCTGAATCTTAAAGCAAAGGTCGTGTCATGTGTTCACTATTATGACTGACATGTACCTTAGCATAATTTAGAGACTCTAACTTCAGTAACCTTGACTATGTTCATGAACGTCTTTATTCATGCAGCATCTCTTTGGATTCCGTAATGACCTGTTGTATTAGGTCATTGGCTTTATCTCCTGGTTTTTTGCAGTGACCAATATTTTCTTAATAGATGCCACTGTTTATATAATGCGGTATGAAGAAACAGAGGGAGGTAAAATTCCCATGCTTCTTTACAATTAATGAATTAGAGCAAATTGGGCGCAGTTTTTGATTCCTGGATATGGCAAACAGAATTTGTTTTGTGGCAGATCTATTTGTGTCAAATGGTTTAACAAACATCCTATAAAATATGTTTATACCAAGCAGAGAGTTGTGTGTTAACATTCACAGGAAAAAAATCCCCAACACCCTACACAGGCATAAAATAAATAGATTCCTTTTAACTGAAAGTATCAACTGTCTGTAATTTCACCACACAAAGGCAATTTTGCCACTGAAAATATTAGGAGGATCCAGCATAATCTTCTAGGTGTTGTTCTCTTATACCCTTCAAAATGCTCACCAACTATTTAGGTGCTTTAGCTCCAAGAAACCACCCCATAGATTTTACTTCTATTGTATGTTTTAATACCTGACTTTACAGTGTCCTGGTTGCAATCTTCTTGCAAAACATGTAAGCAGTTACATCACAGCAGAGGATGTTTCACCACTGTTGCAGAGCTGCTCTGCCTCAACTCAAAACATTATGGACTGTAAGGATACAATATTTCTGAGGTTGGGAGTGAAAGATTTCAGCTTTTGGCTGAAGACAAACAGGAATTTGGATAAGAGGAATGTGAATGGACTGGGTAGTGGGGATCGTGGCATTAGTAGCTGTATACTTTCTGGTGTAATTGGAATGCATTGGAGAATTTGCTACTCATCCAATGATAAAACGAAACCATGAGAAAAACCCAACAATAAGCAAAAGCCAAAGTAATGGTGAAAGTTAGGGATTTAATATTTGGGGTCCAGATGCTTAGTTTTGTGAAGGTGATCCTTAAAGCTCGATGTATACAACAGCATTTGCAGAACCATGAGCTACTTTCTGAATAGTAGAAGTATATCTATATATAACCTGGCCAAATGAGTTCAGATTAGGTAAAATTTCTCCTGCTAAAGTGCTCCTGGGCATGTACAGTGTGTGCTCAGAAAGTAACAAGGAAGGTGAATGATGTATTCACAATTAGAGAAGAGACCTGGCAGAAAAAAAATGGCACTGTAAAATCCCATGCTTTATAAGTAATTTTGAAATAGTAGCCCATGTATTAACAACTATGTATAGTTAGGATCCTTAAAAGGACTGACTGCTCTGCCAAACACTGAAAAAAATGCTCTACCTTAAAAAGTGTCACATAAAGTATGTTCATTGAAAGATCCTTCAGTGACCTACAAGAGCAAACTGTGTCTTGAGAGTCTTCCATAATTCTTTTCTTATAACTTCTAATGAAGAACAATAAGCAGCCTGTCTTCTCTCATCCCCAGAGGAATAGTAATCATCACTACTTCCGGATTACCATGGACTGAGATTTTCAAGAATTTAAAGCTAAAAAGTCAGTATGTTGCACTTTTCTGATCTGAATAGTCTTTGAGGAATCTTTCATGGAATTTTTGAAGGTTAGTAATCCAAACCAGGGCTTAATGACTGGCACAGTTTTTCAGTAGCACTATTTAGCCACAAGTCTCATTGTGTTAACTGAAATTAGAATCATAGGATCATAGAACAGCCCAGGACTGTTCTCTGGAGAAGGGATCCTCAGAATTTCATCTGGTCTGACCTTTCATGGGAAAGTCAGCCTAGATGAGATCACCTAGTACCCTGTCTAGCTGCATCTTGAAAAACCTCCAGCAATGGAGACGCTACCATGCCCCTGGCAAGGTTGTTCTAGTGAATGGTTGCTTCCACTGTAAAAAATTATTTATTGCATTGAAATAAAACATTTCCTGGTGCAACTTGCACTCATGACTTCTTGTCTTCTCCCCATAGCTTCTTGTGACTACACATTTCTCCTTTGTCTTTGTGACCACCCTTTAAATAGAGGGATACTGTGATGAGGTTTCGCTTGAGCATTCTCTTTTCCAAGGAGAAAAGAAGCTCACTCGTCAGCCTTCTCCACAGAGAAAAGATCTAACTCTCAATCTGCTCATGGAGTAGGTTCTGCAGTCTTTGGATTATCTTTTTGGCCTTTCTTGGGACCTTCTCCAGTCCAGACACATTTTTTTTTTAAATTGTGGGGATGGTTAATAAATAAATACTTTGGATATGAACTTCTAGTAAACCACTTTAAACTGGTTTTTTTTTTGTTTTTTTTTTTTTTTTTTTTTTGCTTTCAATATATTGTTCTACCTAATAAATAACTAATTAGAGATGGTATCCAGTCATATACAGGAGCTGGGTATGTCCATGAGATGGCTTTGTTTACTCCAAGGAGTAATACAAGTCAAGTAAGAAAATCTATAAATATTATTCCTAAGAAGATGTGTCTTTACTGTTTCTTAAAAAGAAGTGCAAGTTATGCATTTCTTGAACACTCATATGAAAATAATTTGTGTTCTTTTCCCAGTTTTATAATTTTGATTTAACAATATTTATTGACACGCTATAACTTTTTTGGGATTTATACAATGTTCCAAGTTTTAACCAAGAAATGACTGTTTGTCATCAAACTAAAAGAAATGTAGTAAATGCAGTTGCCTTGAAAATATAACTGTGTGGTAATTGAAGGGAATACAGCTAAATGAATCTGTAAGAATTTTGATAAGGCAAGTATCTTAAAGAAAAGGAAAAGCTGTTCTATGGCTGGACATTTGTTTCTGTTCTTTTCCTCTGATAAATCACTGCAGCTGTGAATGAGTTTATCCATATTCTGACTACAGCTTTGCCATATAGTTTTTCTGTATCTTAGTCAGAATACTGCTATGAATTTAGAAACTATAAATTCAGAACCTTCAGTAGGATATTATTTCTAAATGGTTTTGACATATTTTCCTTGAGATTTTTCAGAGCCTCAGTGGTGATTAGTGAAAAATGATGCAAGATTTTCGGGTGTATTAAAGAGGAAAGCAATATGCTAGAAGGAAAAAAAAAAAGTAGAAAGTCATGTGCCATGACAACCACTAGATATTTGCAAAACTCCTGTTGAGATTAATTTTCCTCATGGATAAAGAAAGGGTCTAGGATTTACCCAGATACAATCAGGTAATGAACATCTCTTGTCTTCTTTGATCGACACTTGTCAAAAATCTACTTGCTTCTTGTGGGATAAGTACTATTATCCTTGTTCCTAGAGTTTACAATAAACACTAGTGTGCCTGTGCTGCCCTACTGTATCATTGCAGGTATACAGGAAGAGGAAAATACTTTTCCTTGATATATAATTTTGTCTCTAAAAGCTGAAACCTATGCTGCTGATAGAAAACTTGGTAGTAAGCACAGCTACAATAACAAATCTCTATGTGAAATGTCCAGGGATTAGATGAGTCTCCTGGTCTCCTCCCAGCCTCCATTTGTCCAAAGACAGAAGACCACTGAAAAGACAGAAAACTGTGTCTTTTCCCTTGGTCTTCTTTAGAGGACATTGCAGGATTTATAACTCATCCATCCTACACACAGAGACACACAGAGACACACAGACACAGATACAAACTCTCTTCCCATTCCACCCCCCCCCCACTCTTTTCACAGAACTTAAACCTTCACCACAAATTTTACATGCCACTTCTACTGGTTGCTTGAAGATTTTTCAAGGGGGAAAAAAACAAACCTTATAGTGGGAATTCAGCTACAACTGTAATAGTTGTAGAGCAACAGTGATTCAAACCTAATTTTATCAAATCATCTCTCACTCATCACCATGGTATTTTTTGCACCTTGTCATATCTGAGCATGATAGCAGTAAAGCCATCTACCACTTCTTTTTGGAAAGCTCATTCCATGTAAATACTGTAAACAATTTAGCAGCTCTTAAAGCATCCTCCATAAAATATCCTGCTGAAAAAACTGATATAAATTTATTAAAATTCAGGCCGTTAGTGATACCAGTAGTAAAGTTGCCTTGTATCTCCCATTA